AAAATTATATATTTATATTTTTATATAAAATATGTATCAAATAAATTATATAATTTATTTGCTAAAATTTATATTAAACATTAAATAATAATAAAACATATGATTAACTTATGCAATGGTATTATATATAATATAGTGGTTATTTGTAACTCAAAAAGTAGATGGCTTAGTAATTTAAATAGGTGAAGGCATGAGTTTTAATATGTCAAAGTTAACATATAACACCATTATCAACTAATATTAAGTAATAACCAATTAAGGATCAAAACTAAACTTGAATGTTAAAAAAAATCTAAAGTTGCAAATTTAAAAATTATAAAAGATTAAAAATGTAATTTAATTTTTTATTTTTTAAACCATTAACACTTGAGTACAATTTTTTCTTGTCTTATAAAAGATGTTATTGGCACACACTTCAAGATTTCACTCTTCATATTATTGATTAAAATTTATTTAAAACCATAAATTTAATAACCTTTATTACTAAAAATTTGTTAAATAAAATGTAAAATATATTAATATTTATAATTTGTAATAATAATGTTAACTAAAAATAATGTTAAAAGATAAAATCGCTACTGTATCATTTTTCTTTGCTCAAAATTACTCAAGTCTCACATGCTATTAGTGAGAAATTGATAAGTTAATGACACTGGGTGTCATTCAAATTAATTTTATATTTTATCATTTAAGACAAAGACACACATGAAAATTACAAGCTATCACTTGCAATAACTAAACATTTTTTCTTTTTTTATGTTGTCAAATAATTTGGATGTGAATCAAGCATTTGAGGATTAGCTAAGTCCAAGCAACAATGCTTCCACCGCTGATTCGACGAATGAAAATACGCAAACACGCGCAATGAGCACGAAAGTTCTAACCAGTCGAAAATGAATGCAAGGTTTTCACACGACAAAATTTTCGAAAAACAAAACAATAAGACATTTAAGGTGACATTGGACCCCGCAAAAGCCGCCAAAGGCCGCCGCTTATATTCATTGGTAGCAGTTAACTTTTAAATATGACCGCTCCAACTCATAATTATTTTTTATAATATTTATTTAAAATAAAAAATAATATTATTTAAGTACTCTTTTAAGTATTGTTTAAGTACAATTTTAAATAAAAAACAGTTAGATTATATATTTTTAATTTATTGAAATTAAAATAGTATTATTTAGGTACTCTTTTCAAAATAAATTTATGTTAAATGATGAACACATTAATCAATTGATTAAAAAGTTATTTTAGAGAATTTTTTTTATAATTATTTTATCTTGTCTCTGATAAAAAAAAATGTTATAATAAAATTGTATTAAAAATAACTTATTTAGCTAACGTGACCTAAGAAAGCAACACTTGAGAAAATTGTATGATTCGTTTATTGTCCCAAGAAAGATAGAACCATGAAACCTACTGTAAACTTAACTTTATGTCTTCTTTTTTATTTAAATTTTGATAATTTTTTTTAATCTTTAAAGATCATTAAGATATTTTAAAATCAATTTCACTCAAGATTTTATATTAAAATGTATGATATAGTATAAGAAATCAAATATTGTTATATAATAAATGCTTTGTTAACTATTATTTTGATTTTTTTAGTTTCATAAATCTTATTTTATAGTTTTGATATTTAAAAATATTTAATTTTAATATATATATATAATAGTTTATTTTTATAGAATGGTAAAGTTTATATAACTATATAGCTTAAAAAGAAAAAAATACATATTTTGTCTATATTGACTCAAAAGAAGCATTTTAATTATAAAATTTATAAAACTATAAAAATCAAAAGAATAATCGAATCATAAACGTGTTATTAACATTTTTTAAATTATAAAATATTTTCTATTAAAGATAATTTTATTGAGTTAAAAATAATTCAAATTTGTTTAGATAAATGTTTTCAAAAATATTTATAAAAAAGAAAATTTAATTTAATTTTGTAAGTTAAAATTAATTTATATATAAATTAAATTTTAAAAGTTATTTTATTTTATATATATTAATTTTAATTTATAAAATATAATTTCATTTTTATTTTCTATTTTTTCTTATAAGTATAAAAGAAACTTATTTTAAAATATTTTAAATTTTTAGAAACATGTACTAAGCAAGTTCCTCTAAATATTTAATGAAATTATGTACCTACTAAACTTTATGAATTTAAAATCATTTATTAAACTGAAAGAACAGCTGATCACTTGTTAAACTGAAATTCATACTTCCAATGGCGAATGTTTTATTAATATTTGTTAATGTTGACATCATGAATCGCACCACAGTCTCAACCTCAACCATAAGAAGAAATTAACAATTTGGATAGAAAATAAGAGTGTTTTGAGAGTGCAGTAAGAATTAGGGTTAGGATAGGTAGTAATAGTAAAGCTAGCTGAGTGTGCCCTAACCCACCATCCGTTTGAAGAGAGAGCACCATAAGGAGGCTCCACGTTGAATCTGAAATCCCTCCCACGAGGACACGTTCAGGTGTTGGTAATTTACTTCACGGCCTTCCACCACAGTCAAAAGCTGCGAGACAAGGCTCACTCCCGCTCCCTCTCCGCAAAGCGTCAAAAGCCTCGTAGTAGGCAATTGCTGCGCGTAAGCCATGCACCCAATTACTCGTCCACACTATTCCCTAGCGTGTCTTCTCCTCCTCTCTCCATCTGGTCACCCTCCCTCCTTAAAAGCGCACCTCACCTAGTTCCTAACTCACTCACTACTTCACTCTCTAATAATGGCACAAAGATTCTCCGAGTTCTACGAGGGTTGGATTTCCAAGCTGGAGAAGCTCTTCTACGAGGAGCTTCTCCCCGAAAAGGAGAAAGAGAAGGGAAAGA